AGGTGAAAGCAAAAATACATGAAATAAGCATCAGGAGTTACATTTCATCACAGTACCATGGTGGCTTGCAACTCGACCCCATCATATCAATCCACATAGGGTACCCATCGAGCCATAATACTCGGGCTCATTGATCACATGTGCATCAATATCAAGCACAATAGAGTGCATAAAATATAACTGTAGGAAAATTATTAGGAACAAACAATACTGAGAAGGACAAGCACAACTATGGTGCAATAAGCAAATCAACATCACGAAGGCCATCTCGTCCATAGCGCCATAAGGCCTAAACTGAATCACAATATGCGTGCAAAGACCCATGTAACCCTTACAACCCGTCATAGCATAGAGAGAAACACATAACATAGACCAAGGCGCGAATAACATCTATTCTTCCCGATGATATACCTATGGTAATAGCCGCGCAGGAGCAAGCAAGTCCGATCCGATACAGAATACACATCCTCATTGGGCCTACCAATGCCACCACCCCCCTCCCCAATCAACTTCGATCAACCCCGAATGGACAAATAGCCCTCAAAAAGTCCACAACGACATAACCATAACACATACTATCATCTGGCTAGTCTTGGCCATATTCATAGTCCACAACCACGAAACAATCTGCTTCTGAGAACTCTCAGTCTTCAAATCCATAGAACACACGAATCACCCTACCTGATCCCAACTCCACCGCGGAAATGTCTAACACATCTCTCGCATATGATCATCCCACGAGGAATACTTCTATAATTCTTTCGTGCCACATAACAAAATCTGAATATGAGCAGTCGACCAACCAGGTGAGCACCACAATATTGATGCATTCGTAAGTCAAAACACAATGCGCCGTCTAAAATGCACACCCTTCTCAAGCAATACCAAGTAGTAATAGCACCCATCTAGACATCTGAAACCGTCTGTGCTGTCTAAGAATTCATGACCTTCCCTTCAAAACTGAACTCTGACCTTGAACATGCAAAACTCGATCCCGATCAGTCAGAAACCTTCTATTTGATCTCATCCGGGAGAAAATCCCAATATGCAACAGGTTCCCTACACCAGTAGGAAATATCCACCTCGAACCATGATAGAAATCATCGAGAACTCCTTGGAATCCATTTGCACATAACCAAGCTATCAGAACCGAATCCCTCTAACTTAACCAAGCCACGCAGTTGCCTAAAACCCATGAGCATTGCCACGAAACACTTGTGGAGACTCACCACATCATAAGGTTCAAAGAACCGGTCATACCATTACCGTGTTGATCCAATTTACTATCAACCTGTCCTATTTTCTCTGAGTTCCTTCCAAATTACCTTTATGTTGATACCCCTCCTTGCGAGAACACCATGATCCTTACCCCAAAGTTCGCCAAAAGAGATTCTAACATAAAACCCTCACTTCCCTAAGGCCCATAAGCTGCTACAGTCCCTCTTAGCACCCCCAAGGTACCACAACCGAGATGCTTACTCTGAAGAGACCTTCTATGAATCTAATGTCGTTTCCTCCACCTTCCTGATATTGAAAATGCATAATCCACAACAATATAGAAATACCGCGAGTCTCGACACCATCCAATGTAAATCTTATATTCTAGACACAACTACTACACCATCACTTAATCTTCATGAGTCTGAACTCATCAATAAGACATGAGAATCAAATTTGTCTCACAATTAAACAACATGAAAAACCTTTCAAAACACTCATAACTCGAGACTACATGTCACATAAAGACAGAAATCAAGCACACATTAGTCCTTTTTACACCTCAAGCAAAATCATCTCTTCACATTCAAATCATCTTAACATAGCCCGCAGTCACATCCTACTCATCATTTAGTCATACAACCACTCGCCGACCACAAATTTCACTCATAGGAACACTAGCGGACGTATAAGTCCAAAAGCACATGCACACACGACTGAAATTCTCGTGCTCAAGCTGCAATCAAAACCCGGCCTCAAGTCCTCCAAACTGACTCGCCATCAGCACATAGAAATCACATCTCGCACCTCATCCATGGAATCATAAGTCGTCGATGCACAGTCGATACCGAACGCTCACATGCGCATATGAATGCATGGAAGTAATTCAAAGAATTACGCTCCAAGCTAAATCAATGTCGCACGACAAGGAAAGAAAGACGGGAATTTTATCCTAAATGCCTAGTAGCCTCTCGAAGATAGGTGTGGAAGTCAGCACAGCGATCCGCAAGACTCTACTAGACATTTGCTCATGACTCGTAGAACCTATGAACCTATAGCTCTGATACCAACTTGTCACAACCCAAAAACCACTAGTCGTGATGGCACCTAACTCGATCCGCTAGGTAAGACAACTAACAGTCAATACAATCCAAATGAGATTATAGGTAAAATAGAGAAGAATTATTTGAACATTTACAAATTAACTCAAGAACTGGTAGTACGAATCATGAGCTTCTGAGACTTGGAATTTGCAAAGCTTATAAAAATAATTACACGATCTGTTTGAAAAATATGTAAACATATTAGAAAAATCTAAAGCTACCAAGGGCAAGTGGCAGCTATATCCGTGCATTTTCAGAGTCAGCTCCCGACATCACCAGCAGCTCCGCTCCAAAAACCTGCACGCAAGGTGCAGAAGTGTAGTATGAGTACAACCAACCCCATGTACTCAGTAATATCTTGTCTAACCTCGTCGAAGTAGTGATGAAACTTTTTAGTTAAAAGATACTCACTGATAAACCTGCACAGAAAACAAGCAATAGAACTATACTACGATACAACAGAAAGGAATACATGAAACGAATATACAAAACAATAACTGAGTGCTAACAAAGACCACAATTTAGCTACTTCCAATACCTCGACCATTCTTTCCCTTAGAACGAAAACCAATACACCACGACATTCACTCCATAACTTTCATAGCATGAGGAATGTACTTAGATATCAAGTCAATTATACGGCAACACCCTTCATGCTTTTAACTCGTACTCACCCAATATACGTATAACAGTACCAACCGGAAGACAGAAACACCGATAGTAGGAATTACAAAATAGGAAATATGCAAGTAGCAATAGTGAACGAGGATATACATGTGGGCAACAGAAATAGACTAGGCAGAGGGCATATGAGTAATGACAGCAATTAGGAGACACGGAATATCAACTTTAACTAACTAGTATGGTGGAAGCCTAGATTCAAGCATAACAAATAAGAAAGGAACACATGATCTTTACAAGTTAACAATTAGAGGCATGAATGACTAGCATGGTAGAAGGCTTGTACTAAAGTGCAACAGAATAGATACGACATGAGTGTAATTATAAAGCAGGAAATAGGCATGGTATTTGCAAGTTAGGAAAGTAGAATGTATGAGAAACACAACAACAATTGAGATAGAGATCAATGACAGAACAATAGCAACAAGTCACATCAGATCTATAATTGCGACAATAACAGCTCAAGGTAAAGACATGAGCGTATACACGGGAAACAGACATCACAACATAATGCATGTCCCTCATCCTCGCCTGCATGGAAACACCTATCGTGCCATGATCTCACGATAATATAAAAGCATAACAATATAAATTAAATGGCACAGAATCACCTACGTGCTTTACACTCTCATAACATGGCACGGCATCACCCTTTGTGCTTTTACTCTCAATGATATGGCACGGCATCACCCTTCGTGCTTTACACTCTCCCTCACATAATAATCTATATAAAATGGCACGATATCACCTTTTGTGCTTTACACTCTTCCGTACCAAGCATATATATATTAAGGACAAACAATGCAGGAAGCATAAATAACGTCAAGGAGAATGCTTAAAATCTATATAAAATGGCACGATATCACCTTTTGTGCTTTACACTCTTCCGTACCAAGCATATATATATTAAGGACAAACAATGCAGGAAGCATAAATAACATCAAGGAGAATGCTTAAATGAGTTTTCCAAATGAAACCCAAATCACGACTTTCAAGCCAACAATAGTTCAATAAACCCTTAAGGGCTTTATTATTCAAGTATTTCAACAAATCTCAAGATTGATCTACAGCACGAACATAGAATCTAGCATCTCATGAATACTGACCGTAGTAATGTATTAACGATTAAGCATAATGATGTCCGAATTTGACACATCAATGTTTCTCAGAATTCCGTCTAATTTTAATCAATTTATAAATAACTACATTTTAGTTCCTAACATTCAATTCCATATTTTAGTGATTTAGGAGTCAGGTAAGACATGAAGCAGGAAGGTCACTTAGTTCTACAAGATACAATTATAACATAATCTACCCTCGAGCAAGATTAACCCTGGCACATGCATATATGCTCGTCACCTCATATATGTATTACCCTCGTATGTAGCAAACAATGTCAAATAGTAGGAAAAATTCTCTCAACAAAGTTAGGCAAGACACTTACCTCAATTCGACTAACTCAATACTCAATTTAGCTTTTTCCTTTACAAATTCACCTCAGCTTGGCTCAAGCTAGCCAAAGACGACTTAAATACATCACACAATGTAAGAGAAAATAATTTCAACTAATAAAGCTGTGATTTTTATACAATTTCTAAAAGTCAACAAAAGTCAACCCCAGGCTCGCTCGGTCAAAACCTAGGTCCAAGGGTAGGTCTTGACTACCCATAGCCTCACGAGTCCACATACGTAGTTTGCTTCCAAATCCGAGTCCTATTCGACTCTCAAATCCAAAATTTTTATTTTTCAAAGTTTTGACAAAATCCCCAAATATTTCCCTAGATTTTCATGAATTTGATGTTAAATCTTATGTATAATCATGAAATATAACTGAGAATTGATTAGAGGTACATACCCAATGATTTGGTTTGAAAATCTCTTCGCAAAATCGCCTCCCATCAAAGCTAGGGTTTAAAATATAACAAAATGAAGCTAAGTCTCGGAATTCTCACCTATATGCAGGCTGCAAATGTCGCATTTTCGACATAGGGTTCGCAAATGCGAACAACTCATTGCAAAAACAAAGTTTTGAAATTCTCTGCTGCCTTCGTAAATGCGACCAAAAAGATCGCAAATGCGAACACTGGTCCTTTGCAAAAGCGACCAGTTGGTCGCAAAAGCGAACTAACTCGGACTAGGGTTTTATCAAAAATGCCTTACTGAGTCCGCAAATACGAACTCAACAGGCTTCGCAAAAGCGGCAAGTTCTTCGCAAATGCGAGTCCCTTTCGAGCATCCCAGCTTCGCAAATGTGAGGTTGCTTCGCAATTGCTATAGTCACATTTGCGACAAAAACATCGCAAATGCGATGACACCAGTACCAGCACTCAAAATCATTCCGGATCAAATCCGAAACTCACCCGAGCCTCTGAGGCTCCAAACCAACTATGCACCCTGGTCCAGAAACACAACACGAACTCGCTCGCACGATCAAATCATCAAAATAACCTCCAAAAGCACAAATCGAACGCCAAAACGCATAAAGATCAAAGTAAACTTCAAGACCTTTAAAATCGCAACCAAGCGTCCGAGCCATATCAAATCAACTCCAAATGGCGCCAAATTTTGCAGACAAGTTCTATATGATGAAACGAACCTACTCAAGGCTTCAAATCACACATAACAACCTGGAAACGACAAATCACACCTCAAGTCAAAATCAATGAACTTTGAATCTTCAACTTTTACAACTGATTCCGAAACCTAACAAATCACGTTCAATTGACCTCAAATTTTGCATACAAGTCACATTTTACATCGGACCTACTCCAACTTTCGGAATTGGAATCCGACCCCGATATCGAAAAGTCCACTCCCGGTCAAACTTCCTAAAAATCCAACTTTCGCCATTTCAAGACTTATTCGACTACGGACCTCCAAATTACAATCCGGATGCGCTCCTAAGTCCAAAATCACCCAATGGAGCTAACGGAACGGACGAAACTCCATTCCGAGATTCAATGCTAAAAAGTCAAACTTGGTCAACTCTTCCAACTTAGAGCTTAAATCTTGAAGTTCCTTCTTCCAAATCGATTCCGGATAACTTGAAAACAACACTGATGATTTACGAAAGTCATAATACATCATGCCGAGATAGTCAAGCCATAAAACTACCGAGCGAAGCTTAGATACTCAAAACGACCAGTCGAGTCATTACAAGACTATGGCAGAAGATTTATTTATAGCCAGATTTGCTGATTGTCATTTTGATGAATCAGCTTTCCAAACATTAGGGGGAGAAAATAAATATCTGGAAAAAGAGATAGATTGAAATGTATTATCGCTATCTTATTTGGATCCTCGTACAAATCAATATGAACAAGAAGTTCAAAAGATAATATATATGTAAAATATTGGAAATCAATTGCCAGATATATTTACTAACCTTCCAGGGTTACTAAATCGCATATTCTAGCTGTAAATGCTCCAATTCGAGTTGATGTCCCAGTTGGACAGTATGGTAATACAAATAAGTCTAGGCCACGCCTTAAACGTGGTAGACCAATCGGTTCCAAGGATAAAAATTCCCGAAAAAGAAAAGGATCAAATGATCAAGTTGATCATAACGTGGAGGCAATTGCTCAAGAAGAGCATAAAGACATAATAATTGGTAAGACCCACGGGAGGTTCAAGTACCCGAAAATGATGAAAATGAATATATCTCAATAAGTTATGTCTCTATGGGAAAAAGGTAGAACCGAAATAATGTTTTTGTTGTTGTTTTCATATAATATTGCAGTTGAAGTAATGCAACAAGATGAGGATCTTGAGCCAAAATCTGTCGAATGTAGACAGCGAAATGATTGGCCAAAATAGAAAAATGCAATTCAAGCAAAATTAGCTTCACTCGAAAAACGTGAGTTTTCAGACCAATAGTCCGAATGCCCGAAGGTGTCAAGCCAGTGGGGTACAAATGAGTTTTTGCGTTCGTAAGATATAATGCACGACTTGTGGCACAAGGGTTTCCTCAAAGGCTTGGAATTGATTCTATGGAGACATATTTTCTTGTGGTAGATGCAATTACCTTCAGGTATCAAATAAATCTAGCAATCCATGAAAAGCTTGATATGCGGTTGATGGATGTTGTCACAGACTACTTATATGGCTCATTGGACAATGAAACTTTTATGAAAATTCCTGAAGGATTTAAAGCTCCTGAAGCACATAAAAGTTCAAGGGAAACTTGTACCATAAAGCTTCAGAAATCCTTATACGGATTGAAGCAATCAGGGGGGATGTGGTACAATCACCTTAGCGAGTATTTGCTAAAGGAAAGGTACAAAAATGGCCCTATTTGCCTTTGTGTCTTTATTAAGAGGTTTGGATCTGAATTTCTCATAATAGCTGTGTATGTTGATGACTTGAATATCATTGGCACTTCTAAAGTGCTTCCAAAGGCCGTAGAGTGTTTGAAAAAATAATTTGAAATGAAAGATCTTGGTAAGACAAATTTTTATCTTGGCCTACAAATTGAGCATGTAACAAATGAAATTTTTGTCCATCAATCAACATACACTAGAAAGGTTTTTAAGCGATTTTATGCACATCCATTGAGTACCCCGATGGTTGTGAGATCGCTTGACATAAATAAAGATCCATTTTGGCCTCGAGAAAATGATGAAGCGCTTGTTGGTGATGAACATCTATATCTTAGTACAATTGGAGCACTGATGTATCTTGCCAACAATACCCGACCAGATATGCTTTTGCAGTAAGCTTATAGCAAGATTCAGCTCCTCCTCAACAAGAAGACATTGGAATGGTGTTAAGCATATATTTAGATTTTTTCGGGGAACTATAGATATGGGATTGCTTTATTCTAATGAATTCAAGTCAGAAATGATTGGCTATGCCGATGCATGTTATTTGTCTGATCCACATAAAGCCCGATCTCAAACAAGCTATTTGTTTACATATGGAGGTATAGCTATATCATGGCGTTCAATGAAACAAACAATAGTTGCCACATCTTCAAATCATGCTGAGATAATAGCCATTCATGAAGCTAGTCGGGAATGTGTTTAGTTGAGATCAATGACTCAGCATATTCAGAAAATGTGTGGTTTTCTTATAAAAAAGATAATCCAACTACAGTATATGAAGACAATGCTGCTTGCATTGCTCAATTGAAAGGAGGATTCAAAGGAGACAGAACAAATTACATTTCACCAAAGTTCTTTTTCACGCATGATCTTCAACAAAATGGTTTAATGTTCAACAGATTCGTTCATGTGAAAATTTGGTTGATCTGTTTATTAAGGCATTACCAACTTCAATATTGAGAAGTTGAGACAAAAGATTGGAATGCGGCATCTTCGAGAAATAAAGTGATGTTTTCATGAGGGGGAGTAAGATACGCGTTGTACCTTTTTCCCTTCCTAGGTTTTGTCCCACTGAGTTTTTCTGGTAAGGTTTTTAACGAGGCAGCAAATAAATCGTATTATAGATATGTGCACTCTTTTTCCTTCACTGAGATTTTTTCCCACGGGATTTTTTCTTAGTAAGATTATAACGAGGCATATTATCTATTTTTGGACATCCACGGGGGAGTGTTATAAACTATTAGTAAATGTGGATGTCCACTACTCCCACTACTTTCATCCATGATGTAAATAACCTCTCACTACTCATCACTATTATGATTATAACTCCCACACCTCCATAACCCCTCCCCATGCTCTTCCCCCACGATCTCAATTGTTAATGTCATGCTTAAGACAATCATTTTGTAATTCTATGTAATAGTATATATAGAGGCATGAAATGTATATGGGACACAATTGAACACTTGATGAAATAAGAAAGTTATCTTTTTTTCTCTTATTCTATTACTTATCTTCTTGTTTTATATTGTTACTTTGAGCTACATTTGTTAATAGTAGAAGTATATATAAATTGGGTAACTTGCGCTTAGCACAATCATATCATATTAATTGCTCCCAATTTGCTAGACGAGCCGTCATTAGAACCTTCCACTGCACTATTGTTCGGAGATGAACGGTTCGATCCCTTGCACTTAAAAAAAAAGAATCTTGAACTATTTTCTAAAATGAAGTGAACTTGTAGAATTTTGAAAAATTATTCGAAACACAATTTGGTATGAAAAGAAAATGTTTTCAATAAAAAATGTTTGCTTAAAAAGTATTTTCTTCAAAAAAGCAACAAACAATTTTATTGGTGAGTAAAAACTACTATTTTTCAAGACTATACATTAACAATAATACCAGCAAATTGAATAAAGTTTTTGTGAGGTTTTAGACATTAAAGATTGAAATAGTGTAATAATTATTGAATGGAACAAGTCATGTTAAGTAAGTGCTGGTACGCAGGTATAGTTATAAAGGAAAATAACTTATGTCCATAAGGCATAAGCCAGGTCATTTTTCCTCTTTTGGTAGAAACTATTTTCCTTGTCATACCAAACACTAAAAACAACTTCGCTTTCAGAAAATAGGGATAGTGTTTTAGAGAGACCAAGATAAGGAAGTGCATGCTTTGGTTGGACTATGAAGACTCTGTTCAGTTCCCTTGCTCCAGAAAGATTAACTTTATACAATAGCTTAACATTGATCATGCAAAATCAGCAGCAATCTAAATTCAACGAGAAGCTAAGTGTAGTAATTCACAACATTCAATAACCACAAAAAGTACATACGGAACCAAATTCACAAATCATGTTACCACATGCAATGGTATTTCTTTTTCGATGCTGAAATATGAAAAGAAAACATGTAGACAGAACACTGTTACAGCCAACTAAACTTACCCGGCATCCGGTTGGGAAAAAAAAATTCATATCTTGCTTATGTGTATCCTACTATAACTCTGCAGGATTTGTTCTGCCAATTCAGTCAACAAGAACAAGGCAACAAAGACTATTCCTTGAAATTTTCTCTTTCATTTGGTACAACATACTTGCCAGAGCTCAAACTGGCCTATCATACATGGGGACTGTGAAACGAACTCCACCATATTTGCTACAATTGAACATAAAATGGCTCCATCCATCTATAATGATAAAAGAAAGATACGAGAAGAATCCTTCATGGTAGGATCCGGATATCCTTCACTACGTCTATGGAGATTGACTATCAATGGGAAAAGCAAAGCTCAAAACAATTCAAACATTAATGTTGTGTTCCTGTTTCTTGGGGACTCTGAGTTGGTCGGCTTTTGATTTGGTACACCTGCTTGACTTGCTTCTCGTACCCCGGCGCTTTTAAAGTTTCTTGATGCTTTAAGTGCATTGATGTAGTTCCCCTTGCAGGTTTATTAATCCACTGCGGCGGGGGTGAAGGAAGTGGACCCACACTTTGTGTGAATGGCGGTGGGCGGACGTTAGAAAGTTGTCCTGAATTTGGCATCCTTGGCACAGCTGAATAAGGCCTCGTTCTTGAACCACTTTCAATTGTCAACACAGACATTTCATTCCTCATGTTATGATACTGATCTTGATATGAATGCCTGTCTTGCATCCTGAAATTTTGCCTAGGGCTTTGCAACTCATAAGGGGATGGAGCATATCTGGGATTTCCAGATGCACCATGAGGCATAAAATTGCTAGATAAATAAGAAGGATCCTCAAAAAAACCATTTGCGCGGCCAACTGGTCCTGGAAATCGTGGCCGGTGATTGGGAGAAAAATTCCTGTAACTCGTTTGATCATAAAATCCACCTTCATAGCCAGACGGTCCAGCTGGCCTTGGTCTATTCAGAACATGGTTGCCGAGGAAATTTCGAGGATATGATTGCTCCAACACTCCAGAATTTGTTCCACCGGGTTTGATATTCAATGTGTTCTTAAGCAACCGATGTGCTGCTTCTCCCAGAGAAGGCCCTGCTATTGCCCCAGGTACTGGACCCCTGCATAACACACAAGACCGAAAACATTCATATTATCAGTTGATTACTTGCAAAAAGAAATTACATTCACAAGCTCATTACTCACAAAAGACAAGATTACTGTTAACACTTGTTGCAGGTTTAAGATTGTGAAAAGAAAAGACACGCAAATACCACAAGACACGGCAAAAAGAGATGAATTTTACCTATCTTTGCCTAGCTGACGCCGGGTACCATGATCTTCATGCCATAATACAGGGAAAGGTTTTATATCAACAGCTCTCAAAATCTGCAGTACAAATTACAATAGCTTCACTCACAATTTTCCTAAAAGCAGCAATGCAGCACACTCAACCAGACGCTAGACCACAAACAGCAAAAGCAATGTAGCAGACCGAAGCCATGTGCCTCAAAATACAAGAAAAATGAACTGCAGATTAACTCTCAGCAGAAACTACTGATATTGAATAAATATTAGAATTAATTAAATTCAAGCTCCCCTAGATCAGGAAAAGCTCGAAAGAATAGGCACTTTTTTTTAAGTAAAAAAAGTGGGTTGGGCGTATTCTATCAACAGCAGGAAAAACCACCAAAATAATAACACTGACTAAATAAGACTAGAATTGGAACCTACTTATTTAAATCCACGCGCATTCACATAAAAGAAACTGAAAAATTACAATATATGTTCCTGCTAGATTATCTCTGCTCAAGAACATAATGTTAAGCAAATTTTATGACTTAGGTATTATTGTTTCAGAATGCTCCAAATGTACAACTGCAACTAAGCAAATTGCGGATTCTTTACAAACCTTTTTGGGCATAAATACTCCTTCTGGAGGCTTCGGAATATGCTTATGAGGTACTGGATTCAGAAAGGTAATATTTCTGGCCACACAAGAGAAAAGATAAGAAGAGGTACTTTCTCAAGCAGTTGAAATATTTTGAATGTCATAATCACAATTTGAAAGAAGGTTAGAGGTCTGGAATTGCCAGAACAGAACTCACAAAATCTTATTATTTGAAATATCTTCCAATCCATTGAGTGGGGAACAAACCCTATCTCTCAGGCCATTCCGCTCAGATAACCAAATGAATCCATTCATTCCACCACTGTGAAAAAGGGAATAAAAGAATGCTTGAGGAACCAGCAAAAAACGACCAAAAAAAAAAAGAAACTTGAAAATTTACAGCAGTAGACCACATGACCAACCTCAGATTTGCATCAATTAGCCATGGCCTTTGTTCCCCTGGGGGCACCTTATTATTGTGATGATAGTACGAAATGATATATGGAGCCAAAGTATGGTGATGATGAACATAGAGCAAATCGAACATTACACTGTTCCTGAGTTGCTCCTCTTCCTGCAACAATACAAAATGAGAATGAGACGAGAACAACTCCAATATGCATTATAAATAATACCCCATCTTCCAGGATCTTTTTCCAGTTAAGCTCCAAGTCAACGAAATAGCAGTGTTGTCAAAGGCGCGCTTAAGCCCTGAAGCGAGGCTCAAAACATGTTGAGCGCTTTGCCTCGCATTGTGGGCGCTTTAGTATCGCATCAAGGCTCTAAGGCATACTATTCCTTGCCAATGAGTGTAATCATGAAAAGGCGACATTAAACAATTGATTTTCACTTTATCATAACTTTTTTCCAATTTTTTTGTCTATATATTTGTTATTCATGCTTATAACTATTAGTCTTGGACTACATATACATATTTTTACTTTTTCTCCCGTTGCGTCTTTTTTCATTAAAGCCCACGCTTTATTTGTACTTTGCGCTTAAAACCCCAACCGACCTTAGAGCTTTTTTGCGCTTTTCGCCGCGAAATAGGGACATGGATACTCCTGAGCACTCTAATCTGCCATGAAAAATCCTCTGAATGTTTGATATCTTTGATATCACTGTTTGCTTATGGACAATACAAAGGAAGGCGAGACTTCTGAACAATGAACATCCATTTTAAACTAGAAACATCACAGCTTTGAGCAGCTATTTAGGGTAGGTGCATAAAATATAAATACTACATCAGTGAATTAACTGTGACGATCAGAGATAGCCACGATGAAACCCACATTATTCTGAAGTAGTGATTTCAATGGCACATGGGGAAGCTAGATAACTGGATGCAATTGAACAAGAAGCAGACACTAAAAATACACCTCCGATTTATACCAATTATTTTCCACTTGTGGGATTACACTGGGTCTGTTGATGTTGTTGTCGTTGTAGCACTAAGTTGCTCGGACTCGGGTGCGGGTATTTTCTACGGGTGCGGATCTAGCGGTCAAATCCTTCACGATCGAAAATTTGAGATTCGCGGGTACGATTCCAAGTACGGATATGGGTGTGGGGATTCGACTAAAAATAATTCAAATATCCAAAAATAGAGTTATACAAAAGTCTAAATTATGAAACATCATGTGGAAAACGTACAAGATATTCCGAGAAGGAGAAAATATTGATCAAGAGGAGAATATGAAAAGGAGATAAAAGGAAAAGGACTGACATAATCAATCCCAGATCCATCTATTTGAGGGAGGTCCAATTCCGCGCTCTTCTAATTGCTTAGAAGGGTTCAAGAAGCGTATCATCAGATTTGACTACGAAGGAAGGAACTCGAAGTGAAAGGCCATCGTCTTGTGCAAGGCAACCATAGTTGGCCTTCTATCATCTTCTATCTAGTAGACTTGGTAAAAGGGCCCCGACTTATTTCTAGAATAAGAGTTCGACCGCGGCTTCCCCCCCTTTTTTTGGGGGGGATTGTTGTGGGGGG